CCCCGGCGCCGCCGCCCCGTGCCCACCCGGCTGCGCAGCCGGCTCCGCAGCGGGAGCGCCCTGCCCGGCCAGCTTCTCCTCCCCCTTCCCCTGCCCTGTGTGTCGACGTGGGGGTTTGTGCAAAAGACAAAGCCCCGAGATAAGGAAAACTTAGAGGCCAAGTGCTCGTTCCGAGCAAAGAACGTGTGCCGTCCCCGCAGACTCGGATGTCCTGCAGAAAGAGCGGTCAGTGATTTATCCCTGGGAAGGTCTTTACATTAAATACATTTCTCACACTCCCCCAGGTGCACGTGGAAATATTATTCATAACCCGGCTAGATCACATCTCTTCCACTCCATTCGTGCACCGGTTACAATCCCGTGGAAGATCCGCATCCCCCCCTCCTTTCCCCGCTCCCCGGCGTGCTGGTACCGTGCGTTAAGGCACAACATCTTTTCCAAAAGACGCCGATTGTGAGGGGCAAAAGGATAGAGATTCAGCAGGAGGATGACTAGGCCGGTGCACGGCACTGTCGCGAGGGTAGGATTCCCTTTTCATTTGAACCTACTCAGTCATGGAAGGAATTGCAATCGGGATTAATTTGTCTCGTAATATGATAAGTGACGTTAAGCATAATAGCAATACAATCGTGTTGCTGGAGTCGTGTGAAAGTTTAACCTCGGATCGTGTGGACCGGGCATGGTACACGATACAGAGGACGTTTTCAAGGAAACATGCCACAGACAGCTTCGGGATGAAATGATGACTACGTTATCGTCGCTGATAATAGCGAACTGCAAAACCCTGCTCGCCAAGCAGCACCCGGGTCCTGCATCCACCGAGTATGAAAATAGCCTCCTCACCCGTCAAAAGCCAAAAAGTATCTGGGCGCAGAGGACACCACAAAAATACACGGCCGAACCTTAAACCTGAAGTGCAAACAAAGCCACTGTGTTCACCATCATGGCGTATGTGGTCGACAGGACTTGCAATATTTGTAAAAGCTTCCAGGTTTGGGGGGTTTTTTGTTGGTTCCCCCCCCCCCCCCCGTATTTT